TTCTGGTGTCCCTCTAATACTAAAGTGATCATCGCACCATTGGGTTGTTTTATGAGGCATTTGTTCACCTCCAGAACAGATAAACTGGAAGAATGAAGGTTAGAAATTTCATCCTGATATTGGGACTGGGTTATGACTTAGAAAGAGTGCCAAAGAGTACACGAGACAGTGCTTTGCATAGGTATTCTTCTCGGTGTGTGTTCTCCCTGGCCACTAAACTAAAAATTACAGTAAAATTACTGCAAAATTAATAATGGTTCATAACACACTAAAAAGAATACAAGAAGAAATTTTCAAGTGAAAAGTGAAGCCCAGGTAAATTGTAAAGAACGAATATATAGCTGATTTGTAATTGACAGTGTATGTCAAATTTAACAATGTTAACTGTGCATTTCTTTTCCTTTGTAAGTTTAATTATGTCCCTTTGTACTCCCTGCTTCATCAATTACAGGAAATATGAAATGATTCTGAGTTTTCCTTAGAATAAGCAGCACCTAGATCGAACACTTGGATAAACCATGTGCCAACATCTTGAGTCTGTAGTGTTACAATTTCACATGAATTGGCTCTTCACTAAAACTCTCATAATTCTCAGCTGGAAATTTTTGAGAAGAACAGCATGCCAAAGATCATATGTGATTCATAATTACTTTTTGAATCAAATTTTTATTTTGGAACTATTTTAAATTTACAGAAAAGTTTCAAAGATAATTCAGAGAGTTTCTGTATGCCCTTCACCCAATTTCTCCTATTGTTAGCATCTTACATTTGTCAAAACTGAGAAACCAGCATCGATGGGTCATTATTAACTGAATTCCAGACTTTGTTTGGATTTCACCAGTTCTTCCAATAACACTGTTCTTCTGTTCTAGGAACTGATCCAGCATAGCACATTGCATTTAGTATAATTAACTTGTCAAAGGAAAAAAAGAGGTGCATATAAATTATTTAATTATAAAATAACATTCACACATCACCATTTTCTCTGCTTCATTTCACCTCTTCCCAACCGCACTTGTAGTAAATACACAGCATAAAATACCAATCACCAAAAGAAAAATATAACATTAAAAAATAGACATGGATGATGTTTGTGTAGTCCACGTGCACTGCCCACAACACCAGGGACAGTTTTATTACTGTTTTTTATTTCTCCAGATCAAAACTGTGAAGTTCCTGCCTACTAGACTAGCTGACAGGCCCTGCTATCCCTTTAACGAGCAACTCCACTCCCTGCATTTCCCCCCATAACACACTCCCAGCTTATATCCCATCCAGTGTAGGAAAGAGTTGCTTGGATTTTCACAGTCCAGAGAGAGAACACTGATGTCTAATTAACCTTCTTTAGCTGTAGTTCACACTGCCTCCAATCCTGCTGGTGAATGTGGGCTTCCCAAGACAGAGAGCTGTTCTGAGGCCATAATGTAAGGTGCCTCGCTGCTCAGGCCTCTTGATTTCCTTTAACAGAAACCAACGGCTCAGCCTCTGAGCTCAAATTGTTCAAGCATGCTTCTTCCTGATTGCCAGGGCACCATTCCCTTATTCCTAGATCTTTCAATTTGGAGATCGCATAGACTTTCTAGCAAGGCAGCAGACATTGAAAAGCACCCAGAATCGTTCTGAATTCAGACTCCCAGGAACTAGAGTCTGTCCTTTTCTGTCACCATCTTCATTTTTTTCTACCCTAACCATAGGAGTTGAGTGTTTTTTTTCTTTACCAGCACTCAAAATGAAAAGTACTGACCCCAACTACTCTGCTCTCTCAACTGGAGCTTTTTATGCCTTCCATGAGCCCTGTATATTCAAAACACAAAATCTTGTTTGAGGTTTTCTTGAGGGAGGAGGCTGGCGTGCTGCTTCACTTTGGGCCCCAAACAATAAAACGACCTTGTCCTTTTAGCCCAGGAGTGGGGAGTAGAGACCGAGGAATGTGCCCTAACCTCACTAGAGAGGCACGATCTCTATTCCTAAAGCAGAGATACAAGGCATTAAAAAAAACCCAAAAAACAAAAAACAAATTCATATATTTATTACAATTTAAGAGAAAACCACAAAACTTAACAAGGTCTATGTTCTCAAAGAAAGCTGAAAATGTAACCACTTTTGTTATTCTCTTGAAATAAAAGTTGTTAAAAAGTTATTTTAACGTAATTCCTATTCATTGAGAAAATGTTAGAAAACTCAGAAAAATGGAAAAAAAACCCCTCTATATCAGGAAAACCCAGTGACAACAATTATTATATGCGATTAGCTAGGTTTCTAATTAATATATTCAATGACACAGTGGGAATCATATTTACTACTTTTGTGGCTGGCATCCTATTAACTTTATTAAAATATAATTGTATGTCATATTATTTACTCATTTTAAATGTACAATTCAATTGTTTCTAGGTGTTCACAGAGTTTTACAACTCTCCCCACAATCAAATATTAGAACATTTTCATTATCTCAAAAGCAGAATCAGACTATAGATATGGAGAACAAACTTATGGTTGCCAGAGGGGAGGGTGCTGGAGTGTTAGGCAAACGGGTGACAGAGAGTGGGAGATACAGGCTTCCAGTTATGCAATAAGTAAGTCCCAGAAATCAAAGTCACAGCGTAAGGAATATAGTGGGTGATACTGTAATCGTGATGTATCAGGACAGATGGTAGTGACACTGGTGGTGAACATACAACATGATGTACAAGCCTGTCAGATCACTACGTTGTACACCTGAAACTAATGTAGCACGTGTGTCAACTATACTCCAAAGAAAGGAAGAAAGAAGAAAGAAAGAAAGAAAGAAAGAAAGAAAGAAAGAAAGAAAGAAAGAAAGAAAGAAAGAAAGAGGGAGGGAGGGAGGAAGGAAGGAAAGAAAGAAGGAGGAAGGAAGGAAGGAAGGAAGGAAGGAAGGAAGGAAGGAAGGAAGGAAGGAAGGAGGAAGGAAGGAAGGAAGGAAGGAAGGAAGGAAGGAAGGAAGGAAGGAAGGAGGAAGGAGGAAGGAAGGAAGGAAGGAAGAAAGAAAGAAAAAGAAAGAAAGAAAGAAGGAGGGAGGGAGGGAAGGAGGGAGGGAGGGAGGAAGGAAGGAAGGAAGGAAGGAAGGAAGGAAGGAAGGAAGAAAGAAAGAAAGAAAGAAAAGAAGGAAGAAAAGAAAGAAAGGAAGGAAGGAAGGAAGGAAGGAAGGAAGGAAGGAAGGAGGAAGGAAGGAAGGAAGGAAGGAAGGAAGGAAGGAAGGAAGGAAGAAAGAAAGAAGAAAAGAAAAGAAGGAAGGAAGGAAGGAGGAAGGAAGGAAGGAAGGAAGGAAGGAGGAAGGAAGGAAGGAAGGAAGAAAGGAAAGAAAGAAAGAAAGAAAGAAAGAAAGAAAGAAAGAAAGAAAGAAAGAAAGAAAGGAGAGAAAGAAAGAAAGAAGGAAGGAAGGAAGGAAGAAAAAGAAAGAAAGAAAGAAAGAAAGAAAGAAAGAAAGAAGAAGGAAGGAAAGAAAGAAAGGAAGGAAGAGAAAGAAAGAAAGAAAGAAAGAAAGAAAGGAGAGAAAGAAAGAAGGAAGGAAGGAAGGAAGAAAAAGAAAGAAAGAAAGAAAGAAAGAAAGAAAGAAAGAAAGAAAGAAAGAAAGAAAGAAGAAAGAAGGAAGGAAAGAAAGAAAGGAAGGAAGAGAAAGAAAGAAAGAAAGAAAGAAAGAAAGAAAGAAAGAAAGAAAGAAAGAAAGAAAGAAAGAAAGAAAGAAAGAAAGAAAGAAAGAAAGAAAGAAAGAAAGAAAGAAAGAAAGAAAGAAAGAAAGAAGGAAGGAAGGAAGGAAGGAAGGAAGGAAGGAAGGAAGGAAGGAAGGAAGGAAGGAAGAAAAAGAAGAAGAAAAGAAACCCTGTACCAATGAGCAGTTCCTTCTTTTCCCCTCCCTACGTGCCATCCCCTTAAGCTTCACCCAATCTGGACAAGCACTAAACTCTCCCTCTCTCTCTCTCTATATATATACATGGATATATATATATGTATATCCATATATACATATATACACATATCCATATCATATATATATATATGTATTTGCCTATTCTGGCTATATCATATGACTGTTAACATAAAATAGGTGGCCTTCTGTGTCTGGCTTCTTTCACTTAGCACAATGGTTTCAAGGTTTATCCATGTTGTAGCCTATATCAGTATCGAATTCCATTTTAATGGCTGAATTGTAGAATTCAGCCCACTGTAGAAAAAAGCCACATTTTTAATCTATTCATCAGTTGACAAGCATTTGGGTTGTCTGGACTTTTGGCTATCATGAATAATGCTGCTGTGAATGTTCATGTAGAAGTGTTTGTGTGAACATATGTTTGCATTTACCTTGGGTACATTTCTAAAAGCGGGATTGCTGAATCCTACAGTGACTATATATTTAGCATTTTGAAGAACTGCCAAATTATTTTCAAAAGTGGTTGTACCATTTTACAGTCCTGCCAGCAGTATATGAGGGTTCCAATTTTTCCACATCCTTGCCAACATTTGTTGCTGCCTTTTTAATTACAACCATTCTAGTGGACGTGAAGTGGAATATCACTGGGATTTCAAGTTGCATTTCCCTAATAACTAATGATATTGACCATCTTTTCATGTACTTACTGACCATTTGTATATCTTCTTTGGAGAAATATTTATTCAAATTATTCAAATCATTTGCCCATTTTTAATTGAGTTATTTATCTGTTGATTGTTGAATTTGTAAGAGTTCATTATATATCTTGAATACAAGTCACTTTTGAGATATATAATTTGCAAATATTTTATCCAACTCTGTATATTATCTTTTTGGTTTCTTTATGACATGCTTTGAAGCAGGAAAGTTTTTAATTTTTATGAACTGCCGTTTATCTACATGGTGTCATATGTAAACCTATGTAAAAAAAAATCATTGCCTAATCTAGGGTCACAAAGATTTACTTCTATGTTTTCATCTCAAATTTTTATAGTTTTAATTCTTACATTTTCTTTTTTCTTACATTTTTTTTTTAAGGTAAAATATTTTCTCTTGGGGAAGAGTATCTTTAGTTCTCAACATAGAACATCATTACACATGTTTTCAGTTTAAAATGAAAACCAAATTTACAAATCGCTTCTGGATACTTAAAAATAAACTCTAGGTTGCTTTTCTTTTTGGCAGCACCAGCCTAAACTCTGTGGCTTTGTGATATTTCAGAAACTTCAGGTACCTTACAGTCAGAATTCTGAGAAAGGCCCAGTGCTTCAGAATTCCTGCAGTGGCCAGAATGTTTTTGGCTTCTTCCACATCCCGCAAAGGGCTCTCTCCATATTCTTCCTTCAGCCACTGCCGGTACTGGTGGACTTCATGCTTCTCAAACTCCTGGAGCTGTCTCTGGAAGCCCAGGTTGGGGTTGGCACAGGACCTCCCTGCACGCACAGTGTGCAGGGCATCCTCCCAGCCAAAGTCGGTGATGGTCATGATTTAGGTCTTTGAGTCATTATGAGTTATTTTCTTGTACAGTGTGAAGTAGAGGTCTAATTCCATGCTTTTGCATGTATATATCTAGTTGTCCTGACACCATTTGTAAAAAAGGCTATTCTTTCCCCCACTGAATTTGTGTTAAATTCTTTAAATGTCCCAATAGGGTATAGAAGTGTTACTTCTAGATAGTGCTATTCTACTTCCCTTTATTTTTTTACTGCTATTGTTTTGCATATTATGTCTATATAGGTTATAAACCCAATAATACATTGTTTTAATTATTTATTTACACAATATTATGTCTTTTAAAGAAGTTATGAGGAGAAAGGAGTACACAAATATTTATAGTTAATTTTCTTATTTACCATTTTTGGTCCTTTTTTTCTCCTGTTCAAGTTATCGTCTGGTGTCATTTCCTTATTCCAGTATAGCTTCATTCCCATCCCACTCCATTGTATTACTGTCAAATGTATTAGAGTTGGCTGAGTTTCCTAAATGTGAAATTAAGGTTTTTAAATAAAATGTTATTTATTTATTTTAAAGACTTATTTATTTCAGAGAGAGAGAGAGAAAGAGAGCATGCAGGGGCGAGGGGCAGAGGGAGAGGGAAGAAGAGACTCCCAAGCAGGACTCGACCCCCACCCCAAGCACAGAGCCCAACACGAGGCCCAATCCAACGACCCTGAGATCACGACCCAACTGGAAATCAAGAGTTGGACACTCAACTGACTGAGGCACCCAGAGCCCCCTTAATAAAATTTTTAAAGTTTCCTGCCATTATTCCTTCAAATAACTTTTGTATCTCTTTTTGTCTCTCCTCTGTTTCTGGTATTCCCATTATGTGTATGTTGGTAGTCTTAATGATGTCCCACATTTTTCTGAGTTTCTGTTTATTTTTCTACATTCTTTTTTTTTTTCCTGTTTTTAGATTGTATTATCTTTATAGGCTTGCTGATTCTTTCTTCTATTAGCTTAAATCTACAATGAACTTTTCTAGTGATTTTTTAATTTCAGTTCTTGTACTTCTCAACTCCAGAATATCCATTTGTTTCTTTTTAAAATAATTCTTATGTCTTTATTAATATTCACTATCTGATGAGTCATTTTTATCATATTTGCCTTTAATTCTATAATAGCTGCTTTGAAGTTCTTGCTAAGTCCAACATATGAGCCCCTCAAAGGCAGTTTCTATCACCTGCTTTTTCTTTTCCTACATATGAACCATATTGTTTCTTTTCATGTCTCATAATTTTTATTGAAAACCTGACACTTTAGACACGTAGTACAGCAACTCTGGATCCTGATCAATCTTCTCCTTTTAGACTTCTTGTTCTGGCTACTGTTTGTGTGTTTATGACTTGGCAGGAAAAAATCTGTGAAATCCATTCCTCTGCAGTATGCAGCCTCTTATGTTACAACTCACTATTCTTTCCTTGTTTTTATCTTTTAGCCAGGCTTCCTAAGGTTCTCCTTGGGTCCACATATATCGCTTAGTGGTCTGACTTCTGCTTAATTCTTCTGAGCTAGTTAGGTTCTTGCCTTTTCCCATTGCATGTGTGTGTAGCTTGGAGACTGCTTTTATAATTCAGAGACTTTTTACGATTTTGACTTGTTTTTATCCAGGGACTAGTAGCTTGGAGGTTCTCTCTACAGTCATTTATGTGAGGGCAAGTGTCTTGGGCATGCACACAATATTCTAGATCACTAGAGGTGAGTGTGATTTTATTTTTAAGCCCGGCTTCTTAGAAGTCATCCATGGGTCAGAGTAGCTTATTTTTCAGTCCATGTTTGGTCAGGTTGTTCTTCAGCCCCTTGAGGTAATAAGGCTCAAGGCCCTTTGCTGATGGATCTGTACGTAACTTGGGGAAGGCCTTCAGGTCTACCTCACTTTTCACTTTTATTATTCCTGACTGCAACCTAGCATCTGCACACACCCTTCTGAACCCATGGTGATGCATAATGTCCCAGAGGTATCTTCCTACTCTGGTTCTCTCTGTTAATCTCCTAATTGGTCTGCCCCTTTCCTTGCTGCTACTAGTGTCATGGAGCTAACAAGCCCCTCTTAATTGCTAACCACTGTTTTTTTAAAGTGCCCTTGTGGCATAAGCTTGTCTAAGCTCTGTTCCAAACAAATAAATCAGGCAAAGTTGTGGAGATCTCAGTCCTTATGGCCTGCCTCTTTTCCTGGGGAAAGCGTTGACACTACTGTGACATGCTGGGGTCAGGGAAAGTAGCCGAATTCTCACAGAATGACACCTCCACTCTACAAGTGGTCTGTGTCAGTGGGAGGATAGTAGCTGCTGGTCTTCTCAGCTAATCCCTCCCAGAATGGAACCTCCAATTTATGAGAACTATACTGGGGCAACTGGAGCCCTGTATTCATAACCTCCATGTCTGGGGTGGGCTTTCACCCTACCACTGAGGGCTAGGTGGGTGGCACAAGGAAGCCCAATCTTCTTAGCCATGCCCGTTTGGAATAGAGTTTCCAGAGCATGGAGCTGGGGTGAAGGTGGAGAGATGACTGATATCAGTGGCCTACCCCTCCTAGGATTAAATTGTAGACCCAGACTCGAAATTAGAGAAGAGAGAGTTTCCATCTTCTTGGCCACACACTGCAGGGTAGAGCTGCCGTAACATGGGGAGTTGAGGGAGTAGAACGAAGAATGGGAGCAGGCCTTTGCTCAAAACACAACAGACCTTGACTGTCCGTAGAGATTTATTCATTTTATAAAATAAATATGTCTCCATTTGCTGTATGTCCTTATGACATTTTCCAGAGACTTTAAGTGGTTTTTGTTGTTGTTTAATTATTTGCATGTTAAATGTGCCCACTGAGATCCTCATAGGATCATTCTGACAGTCCTAGTATGCATTATTTTTATGGTCCATAATTGTTATTTTGTTTTTCTCTTTGACAAAATAGTTACATAGGAAAAAAACTGTTTTATTTTTTTAACTTCCAAATGATTGAGGTTTTATTGCTTTACCTTTTAATTTCTCATATTGTTATTAATACTCAGTTCTATTTTATTGTGATTAAAAATAATGGGTTTTTTTCCTGAAATGAATTTTAGGTCTTTTCTGTCATCTAGTGAATAATTATACTTGTTTTATTTGGGGGCATGGGTGGCGATAGGGAATAAAAGTGAGGAACAAGTTGTCCAAGAAAAAAAAAAAAAAGAACATCTAAATTGGAAGATACTCACTGATAAATTAGTCTTTGTGCTGACAGCAGGTTTCATCACAAACTAAATTTAAGAAAATTTCAACAAGGGCTTGGTGTGCTAACAGATCCTAGCCAAGAAGCAGGTCATCCATGAATGACAGAGTCTCAATTTTTTAGAAAATTTATGGCATATTAAATAGTGAGAGATAATTTTCTTTCTACATTATTATTATAACACAGAAGCACAAATCCATGGAAGAGGATCAGAAGAAGGGAAAGATGTGCATTGATATATAGCTTTTTGTACCAGCTTAATTATTACAGCTGATGATTTAAATGTATTTAAACAGGTATGTATTATTATTGTCTTGTAACATACCAAAGAATATTATTGTGCAGTGTGAACTGGTATTAGAATATTCATTATATCAAGGAGGACATTTATATACTATACTATGAAATGCTAAAGAAATAGAGAAAGGTCATTACAATGGTCTTAATAAGCTCATTTTTCTGTAAATACAACTTACCATTCAAGGAAGGAAAAGGAGAAGAAGGAGTCATCTCGTGGAGCACTTGAAAATTGTTTTCTCTTCCGTAATTTTGTGGGTTATGAAACAGCATGGCTTTTCCTGGGTTTAGAATTAGCATGCCCTTCAGAGGAACATGGTGCCAGGAGAAACTGGCACTATTTCCCTCTGACTGTGTATCCAAAGCCTAGTATCCCATGTTACTGTTAAGGATGAAAAATCATTTGAACCAGAAGCTTCACTGGCCAAATTGCCAGGAGAATAATTTTCTTTTCTCTTGAGCCAAACAGAGGCATATCACTGAGAGAAGGGAGGAGGATAACCTGCTAATTGACACAGTGCTCCTGGGTGAGAATGGGGAAGGCTTGATAAGATCTTTAGTTGCTCATCTAAGATATAGCAGAAGAAAATGACTGTCTTTTTGTTTCACAAATCTCAAAATGAGAATCATGAAAGTTGAAGGATTTGCTAAATTAAAATAATGAATGTTGGATGGAAAATATGACATAGACTTGGAAACTTCAGAACCAGGCATAAAGACAGATGTTCAGAGCCTAGGCTCAAGGGATCCAACTATCTTAGTAATTTGCCTTCACCCCTTATTCATAGCATTCTAGAATAACACAACAAAATGTCACCCTTCTATGACTCAGTTTTGTCACCTATAAAATGGAGCATATTAATAGGGTTGTTATAAGGGTTAAAGAAACAGATTTATGTAAATTTCTTTGAACAAGCTAGGACAATGCTATGTACTCAGTGAGTCAGAGTTGTCAACATCAGCATCACCATCACTGCAACACATCATCAGCAACACTAAGACTCCTCCTAACTTGATTAATTAATCTAACATTTAAAATAAAAGGTTTCAAACATGAAGCAAATATCTCCTAATAGAGCTATACCTAGGGATGGAGTTTCAGATTCACACTTAAGCAGAACAATTACTATATCTGTCCAAGATTCCCTCTAAATAATCACCTGGGATCCATTCTCAGTTTAAAATTAAAACACCTACTCTTACAAAATGCCAATGATAAATGAAAATTAAATGTCTCTTAGAATCGAACAGTCCATGGTATATTCAACCTCCCTCATAGGGCATCAAAAGCAAAGAAGGAAGTAGAAAGAGTCCTCATGTTTTGGTTGAGATTTTTTTTTCTCCTTAAGCATAAAATACAACAATAATTAAGGCCTTAAACTACACTTAAAACTATCATCATGCTATACTGTAGAGTTGCCTGCATGTAGAAAGATGATACATCCCACATGATTTTCTTCTTTCCACCAATGCTTGTTCT